TGAGTGAGAAATTACAATACTGATACTGCCAACCTGACAGATCTGAAGGACAGGCACATATAATTGGCTGACAGGCTAAAATATCAAAGCAGCATAGGACCAAAAGGACTATGTAGGTAGTCTAGGGACCAATCAAGGATATAGACCATACAACTAGAGGTAACAGGTACTTCAGTGCTAGTACCATGGGACAAGCCATGGCTAATTCTTTCAATACAAAACTGTGGTTATCAGGTCCACCACATAGTTGAACCTGGGATTAGGGGAGATTGTGGAGAGGCAGAAGAGGAAATGGCTTAGAAGAAGTCAGATCTAGGTGCTTATGGCATGGCCAGTCCAGGTCAATGTTTTTCGTATGGGAGCCTCCCACATTGGCTGACTGACTGGCCTCATTGGTGCTAACTGTACCTTACCTAAATGGGAGATCTGAGCAATGACGTGGCTCCAAACCAGGCTTTGAGGAGTGGAATAGATACCCTCCCCATGTTTATTCTTTTGTGTAGCATTCCCTTTGATCTGTCTGCTTCCTTACTTTCCCCCCATCCCAAGTTGTGCGAAGCAGCAGCAAGTGTGCCACAGGAATTGGCATGACAAACCTACAAGAGAAGGTTCTGTACAGTAATGGTTGAGTCAGACAGGGGCTCGAGCAGAATTGCAGTACTGCTCATTGTTGGGCCCCGCTGCTGAGTGCATTCACCTTGCTCAATGATGAGCTAAGTAAAGCCAGAATCAGTCACAACTCCCTGCCAGCAACAGGCCTGTCAAGACTAGAAAAAGTACTGCTCTTCATGAGTCCCAGTTCACAATGGATCCTGTGTTCCAGGACTGTAAGAGGTCCTAGGTTCCTGGTTCCTGAGTCTTCAGTAATATACTGGCCCTCCTGGAAGTGTGAGTAAAACACAAAATGGGAAACTACTTGTTTTATTTGCATTCCATTGCCTGCTATCAGGTGTGTGGGTGTGGGGTTTCAGAAAGATGACCTGTGTGTTTCCTACAACTTCTCAGTTCCAAGCACATTGTCTAGGAACTGCAGAAGGCAAGGAGAGGTTACAGGTGCACCACTGAAAAGGGGATGTTTTATTATTCAGTGTTTTATTTTTATTTCTCATTGTTTTGTTGATTCTAAGCCAAAAGGAAAGTACATGCTGTATCCCAAGTATGCCCATCTTTCACTGTGGGGAGTCGACTTCATTATGCCAAGCCACATGACTAGGCATCAGTGAAAAACTGCCTTCAGTAAGGAGGAAAGGCTTGTCAGAGGGAGGGACTCAGTGTGGATTCCTAGTTAGTAAATTCCAGTCATAGGCACCCCCTAAATAGCAAGTCAACAGTGTCCTGAATAGAAAGGGGGAGCTGAGAATTGAAGGTTGTCTACTCTGAGAACAACCAAAAGAGAGAGACAAGGGGGGCGGGGCGGGAGGGAACAGAGAGAAAGACACACACACAGAAAGAGACAGACAAAGACATAGAGACAGAGAGAGAGACAGAAAAACAGAGAGAGAATGAGAAAGAGAGAGACAGAGACACAGGCAGACAGAGACAGAAAAAGAGACATAGTGACAGAGACAAAGAGAGAGCTCAGTACCTTCCAAAAGTTCTGCACAATGAGGTCGAGTGTAAACTGCCAGGATGCTCATGGGACAAGCCCAGCTCCTGATTCTTCCATTCAAACAGATTCAGACTATTTCCTAACAATGTTACCCAGTAGTTGAATCTGCAGTAGCAGAAGCTGAATGCCAAGGTTGCCTGGGAGGAGATGCTAGTTCCCAAAAACAGGTGTGGGGATGGGAAAGAAAAGATCAGTAACCGCTCTGGACTGAGGAGGGCTCAAGAAAGTCACTTCTGAAAGTGAAGTGTTCCTTCCTAAGTGTTTTGAGATCCAGCACTTTCATTACTAGTTCTTGCTCTTTGGTGCGGTCCTTCCCACAGAGAGCTGAATCCTGTTGAGGATCAGCCCAGTCTTTCCTCCATCTCTCCTCTTCTGCCCAACGGAGGATGTCTCTTTACATTCTGCACTTCACTTTCAGAAGTGACTTTCTTGAGCCCTCCTCAGTCCAGAGCGGTTACTGATCTTTTCTTTCCCATCCCCACACCTGTTTTTGGGAACTAGCATCTCCTCCCAGGCAACCTTGGCATTCAGCTTCTGCTACTGCAGATTCAACTACTGGGTAACATTGTTAGGAAATAGTCTGAATCTGTTTGAATGGAAGAATCAGGAGCTGGGCTTGTCCCATGAGCATCCTGGCAGTTTACACTCGACCTCATTGTGCAGAACTTTTGGAAGGTACTGAGCTCTCTCTTTGTCTCTGTCACTATGTCTCTTTTTCTGTCTCTGTCTGCCTGTGTCTCTGTCTCTCTCTTTCTCATTCTCTCTCTGTTTTTCTGTCTCTCTCTCTGTCTCTATGTCTTTGTCTGTCTCTTTCTGTGTGTGTGTCTTTCTCTCTGTTCCCTCCCGCCCCGCCCCCCTTGTCTCTCTCTTTTGGTTGTTCTCAGAGTAGACAACCTTCAATTCTCAGCTCCCCCTTTCTATTCAGGACACTGTGAGTAGTTTTTTCTAGTAGCAGTTTATTGATTGTTCCGTTGCTAAGCTCATCAGGCGTATCTACCCTGAGCTCTCACCAAGGGAAAAGCAAGGGAACATGAGCCTTGGAGAGGGACAGTTGTCAGATGATAGAAGCCAGGAAAAGAACCACTCGGCACCCGGCATTGCAGGAACACACACCTACCATGATTCCCTGAACTTACTTAGGAGCATAAGAAAGTAGTTTCCAGGTCTGGTGTTTGTTATTTTGAAGTTGGAGACTGGCCTGGGAGTTGTGTAGGAAGACAAATGTAAAGAGAACTCACTTTCATACTTAAGTTCATGAGTTGGTAGAGTACAATTCAATAACTGTCCAAGAGTCAATATGCAGCATGGAAGGAGGTTGGACCTTGGAAAGAGTATGAGGAGAGAGTGAGTGAGGGAACCACAATTTAATAAATGTGTTCAGGAGAGAAAGTGACTGGGACAATACATGCCAGAGCAAGTATGCAGCTGTCATTCCGGTCATGCATTTTCTGGGGCAGAGTTCACATAAGAGTGATCCAGCAAACTATGTTCAAGAGATCCCCCTACATATGAGCAGCAGGAAAAGATCAGTGATGAGAGACTGTTAATCAGATTTGATTTTACACCACTAATTTACATTGGGTTTTTTCTGAGCTTTTCCTATTCTGTTTGGGGGTAGAGTGTCAAAGGCAGGATGGGGTGGGGTCAGATAAGAGGTAGGAAGGACTGGGGGTGTCTTGGGGTGCAGGGCACACTTAACTGAAGAGCAATAATGTAGCAGAATCTTGCTGAACCCTACTCTTGTTCTCATAACCTGTGCTAACCTGACTCGCAGCAGTTATGCCATTTCAATGCCATCTGACCCTAAATTCTGCCTAGTCCTGTTCAATTCCTATAACCTGTGCTGATGTATTTCTCCTTGAAGCAATGCTAGCCACCCTCACGCTGTCTCCCACCTGCCCCTATGCCCTCACTTTTAACCACAGTGGCCTTAGCTTGGTGAATTTCAGACCTGAATAAAAGGTCCTTGAAGACAGGATCTGTTCCATCAGCTTCTACCTCCATTGTCCAACACAGGACTTTGCCCCTGGTAGGGTGTGAATAAATGCTTCTTCTTGTTGTTCCTATGGTTGATTTTCCCCCCAGTTTCTTTCCTAACTCTGTCATCTCGTTCATGGTTACTTTTTAATTTCAACAAACATTTATTGAAATTAGGCCAAGTTTTAGAATAATGTAGGAAATTACCTTTACTCCTTTTTTTCTCATTTTAGTTCTAGTCATAAGCTTAAATACATTTTGACTATTTATCATTTGATCATTTCAATTTAATCATCTATGTGTCACCCTACACTTAAAGTGCTATTCTCTATAATGATATGTTCATATAATTTCCGTCAAGCTCAAGAACAATCTAATATAGATATTAAGGGAAGGAGTAGAATATTAAAGTTAAAAATCCCTCCCTAGTGTCCCCTTTTATATTTGAGTTTGCATCATTGAGCACTGTAATTAAAGTTGCCAAATGACTTTTCTTTTTTATCACGTTTCAGGTTAAACAGAACCTCACAAAAATTTTTTCCAATGGGTTCAAACTTTCCATTTGTATAATGGAACTTTTTTTGGAGGGGGAAAATGGAAATTAGTTTGATTTAAAGATTTTTTTCATGACAGAGTATATGGAAAATGTCAATATATATTTTGTTTTTAAATAAGTTAAAAATAATAAACACCCTACTGAAATTTGAACTGGATACTCCACATTTAGCAATTACTTATCAGAGTAAGGGAACCTTTCTCAACAGGGTGTTAAAATTTAAGTTCAAAGTAAAGTTGATGGTATTTGGAAATTTGAATCTGGATATGCATAATAAAAGAGCTTACTACAACAAAAGTTCTATTCTCCCATAAATGTTTGTACAATATTAGTGAAGTGCATGTTTAATAAAAATTTGATATCTTAAAAGCATTTATATGAGTTTTAGGGGGGTAAACATTCTTAACTCTTTCTATTATTTGTCTCTCTCTGGTAAAGAACTTTCATTTTCCAAAGAATAAGTACCGTATAGCATTTGTCTTTTATTCTTTCTAAATTTCCTTAGTGATGATAAAATTTAAGTAGGTTAATGATGCTTAAACTTTGTAGACATGGATGGCCACAAAAAGGGAACAAATGAATATGTTATATTAATCATTATGGATATTGAAAGGATGATATATTTTTAAACAACTGTAAAAATCATGTATTTTTCTATTGAATCTCAATCAAGTTGAAGAAATGACAGAGCTAGAACTTTTAGGTACTTATTTATATTGCAACTTTAAATTTTAATTGTAACAGGCTAAATAAAACAGAAAGTTTTGGGACATCAACATATTCATTTAATGCTAATCAAGAATTAAATGATAAAATCATTGTCTCAGTTTGAACATTTGGGATTTTGTCACTTCTTACCTGATTTCATGGAGCCTTTTGTACTCCAGCCACCATACTTTCTTATGCTGTTTTACTAGCCTTTGGTCTTTAGAAATTTTTGAAGTCTGCTCTGTTTTTGTGATCTAGTTTCAGAGGAATAAAAGAAAATGAAGGACCAACTTTTTTTTTCCTAATGTATCTTTTACAAAGAAATGTTTTTTAAATTTGACTTTTAAGAATATGGTAGCAACATTTTAGAATGTTACATGTAAGTCAGATTTATTCTCCCCACATTTGCTCTAGAGTGAGCTATGTTTTCCTTTGAAAATAAGTAGAAAATGTTTCTCTCATTATTAATTCACGCCAGTATATTTCTCAATCTGAGGACACATAAAATGGGCACTATATTGATTAAAATGGGAAGTAGCTGGTGTTAAATCCTGCTCAATGTAGGAAATGATGCTTTTATACAATTTAGGGAAAAGATAAAATAATGCTATTGCCCACCTCCTTCCCAAGCACATGAAGATAAAAATATCCTCAAGCATATGGAAAATGTCCTAATCATTGTACATGAGACCCTTGGGTTTGGAGTCAGGGAACCTATTTCTCTGGGTGATATCTAACGATAGTTGGGACTGAGTTTCTTTATCTGTAAATTGAGACTGTAAGATTAGATCATCTCTAAGGTCTTTCCCAGCATTAAAAAACATATAATAATTTTCCAAGGATATCAGAAAAAACATAAATTAATCAAAAATGTATTTCTAGATCTTCAACAAAATAACAAGAATGGGGAAGTTTGGAAAAGATATGAAATAATATTGTATCCCTTATTTAAAGAGGCCAGATAATCAGTGCTCTATTAAGTATCAATTGCATTAATATAATTCTATGTTGATGCTTTTTCATTTTGTAAAACAAATCAGAATTTGATGTAATAAGTACATTTGTTCACTTAAGGCAACTAGGTAGCTAGAGTGCCTGGCCAGAAGTTAGGATGACACAATCCTGGGTTCAAATAGGGCCTCAGACACTTACTAGCTATGTGACCCTGGGCAAGTCACTTAACCCCATTTGCCTCAGTTCCTCATCTGTAAAATGAGCTGGAGAAGGAAATAGCAAACCACTCCAATATCTTTGCCAAGAAAACCCTAAATGCAGTCATGAAGAGTCAGACACAAACTGAAAAACAAACAAACAAATTCATTTAAGGAAAATTCCAGGCCCTGTGCTAGTTAACAAGGATATAATGGCAGAAACTCATTAGTTTCTATCCTGAAGAAAGTTATGAGATTTCATAGGATCATACATTTGGAGCTGCAAGGGGCCTCAAGGGTCATCTGGTTCAGACTTTACATATGAGGAAACTGAGGCCCAAGGAGGTTAAGTAACTTGGTTAAGAAAGGATCACAAAATTACAGATCTAGAGTTTGGAGAGACATTAGCAGCTATCTGGAACAACTCATTCATTTTACTAATGAGGACTTGAGGCTCCAACAGGTCACTGGCTCAGTGTCACTCAGGTATTAAATAATAGAACTGGAATTCAAACCCTGGTCCTTTAACTTACAAATCCAGTGTTCTTTCCACTATGTCACAGTACCCTCTATGACATCCCTGACAAGCAGTCATCCTCTTGTGCTAGAAGATCTCCAAAAAGAGGAATCCACCACTTATCATTCCATTGTTGAATTACTCTAAGAAGCTTTTAGGTAGTTTTTCCCTCCGTAAAACTTCCATCAAGTTTTCCCTCGTAACTTTCCCCATTACTCTTAGTTTCACCCTCTGGGCCAAGCAGAACAATAATTAATGTTCAATTCTAGTATAGAATTTAGTAACCTGAAAGCTTTTATAAATCATCATTGAAGATATGGAAGCATCAAAAGGTATCTCCTAAGAAGGAATATTTTAATGCAGGTTACTTTTACTGACATACACAAATAAAATCACAAATTACCTTGACCTCAAGTTTACCTTCCTTCTGTCTTGGAAATGGAGTCAGAATTAAGTGTATATGATAACAAAATAGCTAACCATCCATTACAAGAAAAAAGCTTAAAAACAAATCCAAGCCTTTCATTTACAATTTTTCATTATTACTTTGTAAAATTTTTCTTCCTTTTTCAAGCCCAAGCATGGCACTAACTCCCCGCACTTAGGAGAGATGATTCAGTCTTCTACTTCCTTGAGAAGACTGAGACTACCCAATAAAAGCTCTTTCAATTTCCCTCCTCCAGTCCTCAAAAATTCTTGGTGTCACCCAACTGTTCTCCATTGCTATCTCAGAAAAAATATCCTTGCTGAGGCAAATTCCTGCATTTGTGTATTGCTCTCTTCCCTTTTTCCTCCCACCCTTCCTCAGGACATTGTTCCTGCAGTTGTCCTCCCACCTCACATATCTTTCATGTCCTTTTTTTAAAAGTCCTGAATTTGGAACTAGAGGATTCAGTTTCGGATTCTGGCTCTAATGCATACTATCTGGGTAACCTTCAGCAAGTTACTTAACCTCCCCAGGTCTGTTTCATTATCTGTAAAATGAGAAATTTCAATAAAACGATATTCAACGTTCTGTTCAGTTCTAAACATGTGATGTAATCAAAACTTAAAACTTTCTAAAACTAAAAAAATTTAAAAATTAAAAAAACAAACAAAAACTTACCTTAACCCTTTACTCCGTCCTGCTACCATCATGGTTCTGAGATATTTGTAAAGTAATTCATGCAGTGCCTGGCACATAGTAGGCATTATAGAAATGCTTATTGCCTCACACCTCCTCTTCACTACCAAAAGGTGTGAAGTAGCAGTCTACACTTGATGTCACCACTTACTCACCACAAAATATGCTTTCAACCCTTCCCAATCAGGTTTCCTTACCACCATCACTATGCTGAGGCTGCTACCTCAAGAGCTGCCCCTCTATCACCAAATCCAGTGGCTTTTTTCAAACCTCCTTCTCTTGTCCACTTCTTCAGCACTGGACGCTACTTCCCACTCCCTCCTGCTGCATATTTTCCTTTCCCTCATCTTCCTCTCTCTAATAAGTATTTTTCTATCTTCTTCATTGGCTCCTTTTCCTAATCATTCTCCAAACTTCTGTTTTCAGTCTCTTTCTGTTCTCTCCTGTGATAATCTCATTCAGTTTCCATAGTGTTAACTGTCCTCTATATGCAAATGTCTCCCAAATCCTTACCTCCTTTCTTCTTGGATCTTTGTCCCCAAGGTTCTGTCCTTTTCCCTCTTCTCTAAATATATTATCTCCCTTGGCAATTTCAATTACTAGTATGGCTTCAGCCACAATCCTAGTACTTAGCATGGTACTCTTTGTAAAGAGACAATGAGTGTTTGTTTCATTTAGTTGTCATCATCACTATTGATGATAACTAAAGCATTTTTTCCTTCAAATATGTTCATTGATATGGTAGCATAGTAAGAAAAAGGTCAATCAAATTTCAAAATTTTTGAAATCTTTCTTTTAAAAGTGACCTTAGAGACCTAGAAAAAAGTATTTTATAGCTTATAATGCTTAAATATGCAATACTAGGTAAACACAAAATAGAACTAAAGCCCAAACATATCATTACGTTACTTATCTAGAAATGATTAGTGGCTCACACCTACTGGCTTTTAAAACAAATTAATGCAAGAAAAAAATAAGAGCTATTTTGTTACAAAGTTAAGGAAAGAAGAATGAGTCAGTCAAGTTGTTGAGAAGTATATTCCTCTTTACTTCATCTTTAGGGGTTTTTTGTAGATTTTTTTTTTATTTTAAACTTAAACACAAAATGAGAAAAGAAAAAAAAATTGCCATGTACACAGCAGACCATAAAAGAGGATTCAATATAAAGCAGTAAGTATCCATTTCAAGAAAACCTATAAAATAAATACTACACATTGTTTACAAAGCTGCCCAACTTTTCTTTGCTTCCTTGTGGTTTTCTTTTGTTCTCTGCTGTGCACTTTTTACTTTATTTTTTCCTCCCCCCACCATCCTAAAGAAGTCTACAATTAAGCATGGAAATACATACATATATATACATATACATATACACACATACATATATACATATATATAATATACATAGATATCTATACACATACACATATATACTCATACACCCATATGTAAGACTGTACTATGATTATTTCCTCCTATCATCTGTTTCTCTGAAGGTCAATAGCATATTCCTTCATATGTCCAAGTTTTTCTATGTTTTTCTAAATCAAACAGCTCATCATTTCCTACACTACAGCAATATTCCAACCTAATCACATCCTATCTGAGAGATTGTCTATGAAAGCTTTTTTCCCAGTTTTTTGCATTCGTTCTATTCTTGGCTACATAGGTTTTATTTAAACAAGAAAAGTTTAATTTAAAATAATCAAAATTATTCTTTTTGCTCTTCAACAATGTTCTCACTTTATAGTATAGTTTAAGGTCTGATATTGCTGAATCTACTTCCTTCACATCTTCTTTCCTTGGTTTCTTTGAAGTTCCTGACCTTTTGTTCTTCCAAATGAACTTTTTTTTAGTAATTCAATTGGGATGACACTGAATCATATTTAGTTTTAAGCTCTAAGTTTAAATGTACAATGCACTGCCAGATGTGACTTTTCACAAACGTTCTGTATACGTTATTTTTGTCAGTAACTATATAAACATATGTCAGTTTAAAAAAAAGGCTGATAGTAAGAACTACTGCCTACATTGTATCTCATGGTAGCTCAAAGGAATTTCACCTATGTATTTTCCATTCAATTCTTACAACAACCTTATGAGATAGAAACTAGTTATGAAATTTAGTAAAGAAATATCTTCCATCACTACATAATACAAAACATTCTGAAGACAAAATCTCTACTACCTGAGAAACACTAAAAATAAAACTATATAGAATTTCTAAAAATCACACACTACTGTTGCCTATTTTAATAGGCAATATACACTGGTGGAAAGAACATTAGGCTTGGAGTTGGAAGACTAGGGTTCAAATCATAAGTCCAACACTTACTATGTGTAGGCAGCTAGTCTAGCCTCAGACACTTACTAGCTGTGTGACCCTGGGTAAGTCACTTAACCACTGTCTGTCTCAATTTCCTCAACTGCAAAATGGGGGTTCTTGTGAGGATCAAATGAGATAATATTTGTAAAATACTTAGCTGAGTTCCTGGCACATAGTAGGTGCTTAATAATGTTTGTGTTTACTTCCTTCTTTCCTAGTGTGTGACCACAGGCAAATCCCTTAATCTCTCAGAACATGTTTTTCCTACTCTGCATCATGGGAATGATAACTGCACCAAAGTGCTTTGTAAATGTGAACTGTTATCATGGGACTTGCTACAATAGAACTTAAGGCTCCATCTACCTGTGAACGGGCTACAATCATCAGAGCTTGCCTAAGATAAATAAATAGAACATTCAAGTTGTTTTGACATATTTGATCTCTGTTTAACATACATAAAAATGACTCTGCACTTGTAAAAGTGAAGAATACATTTTGATGCTATAAAATCAATACTGCTGCCCATGGGGAAAGGATGAGGTCAATTAAGTAGACAGTGAAAGTCAAAATAAATCTCCAATTTTTCATTAGCTGCTTCTACTCTCTACAGCTAAACATTTTGCTTTTTTTGTCACCTGCTGATTTCTTCTGTTTCCACCCTCAGGCAAAAATTATAAAAAAAAAAATATATATATATAACCTGTTACTTAACTAGGATCATATATTTAGAATCTGAAGGGACCCAGAGATCAGAGTCCAACCCTATCATTTTACATATTATGAAACTGAGGCACATGGCTATTAAGTGATTTACCTATAGTCACATAACTAGTAAGGGTTTAAGGCAGGATTTGAGCTCAGATCTTCATGTATTCAAGTCAAGCGCTCTATTCACTAACTAAAAGATTTAATGTAGTGTCTTTTTCAAGAACAAGCTTCCAATTGATTCCAAGTCATTATCACAGGGTAAGCTGCAATAGAAATTACTGACATCTTTGAGGTGGCAAGTGATTTCTGCTAAATTCTAGTAAACTCACAAATTTTAAATATAATTGAAAATTGAATGTATTGTTATAATGTATACAGAATATCTATGTGTATGAATACATTCATCAATAACTATTCAATCTTCATGAAGCTCCAAAATAGTTCATACTCCTTGCGAATTTTGTAAAAGAGACAAAATGTTTAGTGAATAGTGAGCTAATATCAAAGCCAGAAAAATCTGGCAATCACTCAACCTCTAAGTCCTCAAGGCAACCCTCTAAGACTAAAAATTGCAAAGAAGGTGCCAACCTGCATTGATAGAAGGAGTTTCCTTATCTAGGGTTTCTTAAACCACTGAAATCACAGGTCCAGTTCGTCTCCCCAGTGATTTCAACAGTATCGTCATAAACATCTTGGCAGATAAAACATATCCAACTTAAACTGCCAATATGAAGACTCTGCATAGTTCTCTTACACGTGATCTTTAAAGCAGACAGAGGACCACCATCACCAAGAGCCATCACTATTAGGACTGGCTTAAAATACTAGTCTACGATTAAGGAGCTGCTTGCAGCAAAGTAAGAAATTAATTTTTTACTCCTTAAGGTACTTCATAAAAAAAGAATGGCTGTATACAAAATTTTACTAGCTGTGTGGCCCTAGGCAAGTCACTTAACCCTGTTTGCCTCAGTTTCCTCATCTATAAAATAAGCTGGAGAAGTAAATGGCAAACCACTCCAGTATCTTTGCCAAGAAAACCCCAAATGGTGTCATGAAGAGTTGGACACAACCGAAAAATGACTGACAACTTAACAAAACCTTGCTTTGTGACATGCACATCCAAATGAAAAGCACATGTAAATGGAGGTTGAATTGCAAAACTGAAAAAAAGCCAAGGCTATTTCTATAGATGCCCACTCTACATACTTTCACTCAATTTTTAATTTCAAATTTTGGCTCTATTTCTCATTTTAATTTATTGGTGAAATTTTTTTTAAAAAGCATTATTTCCCCATTCTGTTTGCACATCAAGCAGTTTATTCTCTTTGTTTAGTGAGCTATTTATAAAAGTATTTCTTCTTATCGTCTTTCCTCTTCTTTTCCTTCTACTAATATACATTTATATAGCACTTTATAATTTACAAAATGCTTTATAAAGATGCTCTCATTTGACCCTAGGACATAAAATCCCATTTTAACCAGTTTCCCAGTTCCCAAATTAAGGATTCAGCTATGTTTAGGTAGACGTCTCTCATAAGAATAAATATTACAGATTAAATGGTCACACAATTACAGATAACGTGTAGAGCAAGTTCTCAAAGCAGCTGATTTATAAGTTATTAAAAAACTGAATTTTACTTTATTTTTCTTAGCTTTTATTTGGCTTTAAAATGCCACTGTCAAAATTCAAACTGTTAAATATTTATTGAATACCATGAGCTTCATTGAACATAAAGAAGCTAATTGTTCCTCTCTTCAAGTAATGTTTATTTATAATACAAACGTTCAAAATACTCTCTCCAATTTTACAGAAATAAATTGATATTCACATGGGATTTTCAGGACTTTAGTTTCAAATGACTATATAGGGCTCTCATCTTTAAATTGTTAGCAACTATTCCAAACATCTGCAAGTGCTAGCTAGCCAGCACTAGGACCAGATTAGTCAATTAGGCACCAAGCATTCATTAGGTGCTTATCATGTATCAGGCACTGTAACATACACCAGAGATGCAAAGAAGGATTAGAGGAGAAGTGCTAAGACTAGAAGACAGGTTCAGCCAGCATGGCATGGCAACACGTACAAAACAAAGGCAAGAGGTCTCAATCTGAGTGATCATAACTGAAAAAAGGAACCTGAGAGTACTGTGAATCCAAAATCAGCATCCGGATTTTAAGACAAATTGAAGGGAATGGCAAAATACAGCTATCAGAAAAGGTAAGGCAGAGTCAGCATCTGGAAGTCCAAGCTGATGAGGAAGAGCACAGAGGCAAGAAAATAGTAAGTATAGGTCAGAAGGCAGAAATCCTCAGAGAGTAAGAGGGCACAAGCAATGTATGGGTATGCAGGCAATAATAGTGTTCAGGCAAAAGTCCGCATCCTACATCCAGACTGAACACACACTCTGAACTCCAGACAAAATGAGCTTCTCTGCTTTGTCTCTGCCCTGCACCCCCAGCCCCAAATGGATTTGGTACTCTCATTTCTGTCTTTGCTCATGCTCTTCTATAAGCCTCAAATACTCTCCCTCCTCCTACTTTTCACCAACTGAATTCCTACTCATCCTTCAAAGCCCAACTCAGAAACCATTTTATCCACAAAGTGTTCCATGGTCCTCCGTAGTTGGTAACAACTTTCTGCCTCAGATCTCACATAGCACTTTGTTTTGCATCTCTCTGACACATTTATCATATAATATTGTTATATTTGTGTGTTTGTGTCTTATCATCCTGCTAGATGATAAGGTCCAAGAGGACAGGAACCATATCTTTTCTAAATTTTGCAGTTCTTCCCCAACTCACCATCTAGCAAAGTGATCTACACACTGAAGGCCCTTATTAAGTATTTGTAGATTGATCATTCATACAATTGTAGGAAAACCTAGCATTTGTTGCTAGCAGAAATGCTAACAAAGGCAGGGATATATAAAAAAGGCCAATGGCCCCACCTGGCCCCTTTTGGTCTGGTTCCTGAGTTGATCTGCATGACAACTAGAGGCACAATTCCTTCACCATCTTTCTCAGTAGTGTCTTTGAAGTTTCATCAAGTGGAGTCTTCAGGATAATTTGAAGGGATTCTTGGTCAATGATTCAGTGCTATGATAAGAATGATAGGGGCAGGTAGGTGGCGCAGTGGATAGAGCACCAGCCCTGAATTCAGGAGGACCTGAGTTCAAATGTGACCTCAGACCAAACACTTGACACTTACTAGCTGTGTAGCCCTGGGCAAGTCACTTAACTCCACTTGCCTAAAAATAAAAAAAAACAAACCAAGACTCAGGTATCCTCAAGTAGCCACAGAAAAAAAGGCATTCAAAAAAAGACTAAAACATGCCTAATAGCTTCACTAGGGCAGGTAGATAGCTCAGTAGGTAGAAATGCCCCTCCTGGAGTCTGGAGGACCTGAATTTAAATCTGGCTTCAGATACTTACTAGTTGTGTGATCCTGGGCAAGTCATTTATCCCTAATTGCTTCAGTTCCCTCATCTGTAAAATGAACTGGAGAAGGAAATGGCAAACCCCAGTATCTTTGCCAAAAAAACAAACAAAAATCAAATTGGGTAGCAAGAGTTAGATACAACTAATCAACTAAAGAACAGAAAGGGTTTCACCAGCTAGCTGAAATGGTAAGGTTGGCTGGCTAGCCTGTTTGGGGTCCTGGTAGTTTACATATATGTAAAACTCATTTCAACTGAGCAAAGCAGTAGTGTAAACAACTCTAAACAGCACATTTTGTAAAAACAACGTCTATTCACTTGTATAGTGTGTTGTATGGTTAAGACATTTTAAAAATATATCTTTCATTCAACTGCACAGGCATCCATTTTATACTTAGCTTTTCTAAATGAAGTTTACAACTGTGGAAGCTATTTCCATTTGTGGATAACTAATAGTTAGTCAGCACTTATTTGCCCTTGAAATTTTTTTCAACAAAAGATTTAAACTGTCAAAGTCATATAACTATCTGCTTTGTATGAAAATCAAGTTCAGTGTGTTCAGGGAAAAAAGTAGCACAATTATTTTGGAGTTTTAAAAATAATACAAGTGTTTTCTTTGGACTTTTATGACAAAATAGGCATTTCCATGTGGAGCAGTTTAAATAATTTGATTGTTACATTCTCTGATTAAGAAATTGTTCTAAGAAAAAAAAAGTGCCTTACCTTTAACTGTATAGAAGCAGATGCTAGCTTTTTTGCTTCAGTAATTGCATATAATTGCTGATAGTCTACTGGTTTATACTTGGAACTCAATCCATTTTTCAGGCGAACTTTAAGGCTGTCTATTTTTCACCCAAAACATAAAAGTCATTTTTAATTGTTAAGAAATAACATTATATTATTGGAAGCTCATTTAAATCTATACTTGCACACTCACTACAAGTCATATTTTTAAGAAAGAAACACTTGCTGGGAAAATACTTCATAATACCTCTACACAGACAATCTATTTAAACATTTAGAACTACTATTTGAGGAAATGCAAAATTACCATTACATTTCTTGCATTAAATTACTTATAATCAACACCAAAAGTTCAATTCTAGAATCCCTCAATCGAAACCAGGTTTATTTTTTTAATATATATTTATTGATATCTTTTGCTTTTTTATTATCCACATTTAACAACCTATCTCTTCCCTCTCTCTTAAGTTAGATTTTAGAAAATGTCAAATTCTGCAGACAAGTTAAAGAGTAAATTTACAGTTAATCCATACTTTTTGTTGTTGTTGTGAAGCTTGTCAGGACACAAGTAGGAATAATATTTAAGCATTATATTACTATGAGTCAAAACAAAACCACAGGAACATTTCCCCCAATATGATAATTTTATTTGTCTTATTAAATAACCAAATCATTTCTCAACATATTCTACTCCTATTCAATCCTCCCTTGTTGACAAAGAAAATTTAGAGCAAAACATAACAAACGAAATATGTCTAATAGTATTTAAAATATTCCACTTCTGTATACTTCCACCTTTCATTTAAAAGAAGAGTGATAGGTTTCCTCTTTCCCCCTCTAGGATGAGATAAGTCACCAGAACAATATTTTTTAAAAAGAAAACCCCTAGCTATTTCAACTGAACTTAACACATATAGTCCAACCTGAAAGTTAAATAAATCTTATGGCAATTTTCCCAAACTTTTGTAATATCATGGATTAATAATTACAAACATGTTAATAATGCTGATAAAGCCAAAATGAGATAACTGCTAGATACTTCCATAATCAAATACTAATAACTAGAATTTCTTAACCTTTTTTGCATGGATCCCTTTGGCAGTTTAGTAAAGCCAATGGACTCCTTCATAGGCTAATGTTTTTAACTGCACCAAATAAAATACATAGGATCATAAAAGAAAACAATTATATTGAAATAGTTATCCAAATACTTTTTCTAAAAAAAAATAAGTTCGGGGACCTCACGTTAAGAACCCTTGCCAAAAAGCATGATTGATAAGTTCAGACAAAAATGTGCTATGGCTTTAATAATCTGTACAAGTACTCAAAATTTTCCTTCATTCTGTATGGATTTCAACACCTAGCATAGTGCTTAGGACATAACAGGCACTTAATAAATGTTAGGTGATTGACTGATTCTATACTATTTAAATAAATTGGGGGGGGCGGATAAAAGGAGTGATTACATAAGTATAAGATGACCTAGGGACTAAAGGTCAAACATGAGTGTTTTTATAAATATTAAAAAGAGTAAAGCATACTCTCTGCAAGAAAAGTTCCCAGCAAATGAGGTTTTTCAGTACTACAGATCTGATTATTGTTTTTATTCTCATGTAATATCAATACTGTATAAACTTTCATGGAATCATTAAGGCATACTATAAGGCACACAAAAACATACCAATGTCATTAGTTTTCTGAGTTGTAATGAATGGCAGGTCTCCTCTATTCATGTTTCATCTGTCAAAAAAAAAATTGACAGCTGAAAATTTACAATGTTATCTTAAAGCTTACCAAAATGTTTTGATTTATTTGAACATTGTGTACTTTGATTTTGAAATGTAAAATGATTTGGACTAGCAGCTCTGACTTCTGATATATCATTATTTAAATTAACCATTCTTCATGCCTGAAACTCCCTTCAGTTTTGCCTCTGTGCCCTCCTTACTCCTGGGCTCTACTCTCCTTCTCTTTGCTCATAAACTACTTCCTCTGTTTTACTGCTGCCATAACTGAGAAATATTTTATTGTTGAGAAGTCCTTTGTGTATTGCCTTGAGCTTTTTGAAGAAAAGGCATCATGGAAATCGAAAAATAAAGTCATTGGTTAAGTAATGTTCTACTTCTTTTTCATAATTGAGTACTTTATTAAATTGATGTCTTCTGAATGAGGCACACTCCAGGGCAAATGCACCTGGCTTCTGGGCTCTTTAAGAAATAACACTGATCTCCTTATAAATTTGCATTCATTCTCTTTGTTGGACCACTACAGAAAACTTTTAAGCATTTAGAATTATGTCCCATATAGTGCTGAAAAGGACCTTGGAGATCAATTAAATCTTTGTTTTGCACATTAAGAAACTGAGGCCCAGAGAAGTGAAGGATTGTCTGTTGTCACATGACTAGTTAGTTTCTGGAGGAAAAAGTCACGTTAGGAGTCTGCCTGCATAGCTATTCTTGGCAATATCATAATTCCCCAGTGACAGTTCCCTTCTAGCTATCTGGGACAAGAGCCATAATTTGGTTCCAGACAGAAAGATTGTGGGCTGCAACAAGTCATGATGACTGGATTGAGGAGATGGCTGTTTGTTGACAGGGCAGGTCTCCCTTGATTCAAAACTGACTTGTCTCATTAATACAGGCCTATGGACCTTGAAGCACAGACATTAGGAGATTGCCTCCAAGCCCCAGGGAGAAGGAGTTAGAATAGAGGATACATGAGCATTGGACCTGCCTGGAAAGGAAAGCATAGGCTGGGCTAAAACACAGGGATTCCTGGGAGTCTTGCTCAAGACGGTCTACTTCCTTTCTCATCTTCTGGTAGTCAAAATGGTAGCTATTAACTTGTTTCTTTCATTCCTTTCTGGTTGCTATATGAGAAATCTTGCTGGAAGCAAGACAGGTACATATTGGCAACCCACTTCTAATCTTCCTTAAGAAATAATTATGAAGCCCAACAGCAAGAGATAGAAAGAGAAATTCCATTTAAACTTACTGTAGACATTATAAAATATTTAGGACTCTACCTCCTGACACAAACCCAGGAACTCTATGAACACAATTACAAAACACTTTTCATGCAAATAAAATCAGATCTAAATAATTGGAAAAACATCAGTTGCTCATGAGTAGGCCGAGCTAATATAATAAAAATGGCAATTCTATCTAAGCTAATTTACTTATTCAGTGCCATACCAATCAAACTACCAAAAAATTATTTTATAGAGTTAGAAAAAATAATAACAAGATTCATTTGGAAGAACAAATACAGAATATCAAGGGAACTAGTGAAAAGAAATGCAGAGGAAGGTGGCATAGCCATTCCAGATCTTAAATTGTATTATAAAGCAGCAATCATCAAAATTGCTTGGTACTGGCTAAGAAATAGAGTGGTGGATCACTGGAATAGGTTAAATATTCAAGACACAGTGGTCAATGACTATAGTAATCTATTATTTGATAAACCCAAAGACCCCAGCTTCTGGGATAAGAACCCACTCTTTGAAAAAAAAACTGCTGGGAAACCTGGAAAAGAGTATGGCAGAAACTAGGCGTAGACCAAAATCTCACACCATATACCAAAATAAAGTCAAAATGGGTTCATGATTTAGATATAAAGGCTGATACTATAAGCAAACTGGGAGAGCAAGGAATAGTTTACCTATCAGATCTATGGAGAACAGAAGAATTCATGATCAAACAGGAGATAGAGAACATTACGAAAAGCAAAATGGATAACTTTGATTACATTAAATTGAAAAGTTTTTGCAAAAACAAAGCCAATGCAACTAAGATTAGAAGGTAGAAAATTGGGAAAGAATTTTTACAACCAGTCTTTCTGATAAGGGCCTCATTTTTAAAATATATAGAGAATTAAGTCAAATCTATAAGAATACAAGTCATTTTCCAATTGATAAATGGTCAAAGGATATGAACAGGCAGTTCTCAGATGAAGAAATTAAAGCCATCTATAGTCATATGAAAAAAATGCTCTAAATCACTATTGATTAGAGAAATGAAAATCAAAACAACTCCAAGGTACCACATCACACCTATCAGATTGGTCAACATGACAAAACAGGAAAATGATAAATGTTGGAGAAGATGTGGGAAAATTGGAACACTAATGCATTGTTGGTGGAGTTGTGAAATGATCCAACCATTTTGGAAAGCAATTTGGAACTATGCCCAAAGGGCTATAAAAATGTGCATACCCTTTAACCCAGCAATAACCCTTCTAGGGCTATATCCCAAAGAGATCATACAAATGGGAAAAGGACCCACATGTACAAAAATATTCATAGCAGCTCTTTTTGTGGTGGCAAAGAATTGGAAATTGAGAGGGTACCCATCAATTGGGGAATGGCTGAGCAAGTTGTGGTATATGAATGTAATGGAATACTATTGTGCTATAAGAAATGATGAACAAGCTGACTTCAGAAAAACCTGGAAAGACTTGTATGGTCTGATGCTGAGTGAAGTGAGCAGAACCAAGAGAATGTTGTACACAATAACAGCCACATTGTGCGATGACTAATATTGATAAACTTAACCCTTCCCAGCAATACAAGGATCTAAGACATCTCCAAAGGCCTCGTGATGGAAAATGCTATCCACATCCAAAGAAAGAACTATGGAAATTAAATTGCTATTTTTTTTCTCATCTGTTGAGTTTTGTTTCCTCTTTCTGGTGGTTCCTCCTATTGGTTCTAATTTTTACTTACGACATCACTAATGTGAAAATATGTTTAATAGGAATGTATATGTATAGCCTATATCAGATTGTGCACCGTTTTGGGAAAGGTGGTGGGGAGGAAGGGGGAGAAAAATTTTAAACTCAAAAGCATATGGAAGTGATAGTTGATAAATTAAAATGAATTAATAAAAAATTTAAAAAAAGAAATAATTATGTATCTTATATTGTTGGGATTACTTTTAAGGAGTCTGTTTTCACTGTATAGGAATCCTTTTTTTTTTTGTAAATATCATGTTTATACTGAGCTGAATCTCCACCTCTCCCAAATTTATATATTCGATAGTCCTCATTAAAAGTCTCAAACCAGTTTGTTTAGAACAGCTCAAACTGCCAAGAGTCCTATTAGCTATTGCCAAAGAAGATCCATACATGAGTCTTAGATTCAGCATCTCCCTTCTCAGCTGGATGCTGACTACCTCACCACCCCCCCCCCATAAGAGATAAAGCAGAGCCCAACTCCACTATAATACTTAACCCTACTAACCTCTTCCCAAGAGTCAGGGATCATCTTTCCTACCACTGCTCCCCAAAGTTCTACAGCCTTGACATTTTCATTGGCACTTTGTCTACCAGATCTTAAGTACCCCCTGGCCTTTCTACTTTCTGTGAAGCTGGACCCTCCTATATATATGTTTTCTCCTCATAACAGAATGTAAGCTCCTTGAGAGCAAAAAATGGTGTCACTTTTCTGTCTCCTCAGGACTTAGCACAGTGCCAGCATACAGAAAATGTTTAATAAATACTTTATCTCTCTTTTCCATTCCATTTCCCTTAAAAGTTTTTTGGTGAAGAAACATGAGCACTATCTCCCCAAAAGTCCATATGCTCCACTGCCCAAAGCAAATAACTGGAAGGAAAGTAGATAACTTCTTTAACAACTACAAGAAACCTGGCCTCCTGACCCCTGGTCCAATTCTTTATTCCACTACTCTACCTGGTGGTATATGTGATAACAGAAATTTTCAAAGGGAGAAGGAAGTAGCAGTTGTCATAATTGGTTCTTCAGTTCCTCTCTATTCATGAGTCAAGGCAGGGTCTCACATCATTCTGTTTCAGATAAAAATCTGTGGACCTATGTGGGTGCTGCCTCTATGTCAGCAGATTTCTCTGCCATACCAGAATAATCTAGTTTATTTTTCTAAAAATTCCTTCGGTTTTATATCACATTCATTTCCAAATATGCCCCCTTCCCACCCATCCAACATGCTTTACCTTGTAACAAAGATTTGAAAGAAAAATATCAGAAAATCGACTACATTAGACTCAGAGTCAAGACAATATAAGCTGTTCAAATCTCACCTCAGACTCTTACCATTTGACCCTGAGCAATTCACTTAATATCTCTGTGTCTCAGTTTACACATTTGTAAAATGGGGATAATGATAGCACTTACAGGGTTGTTGTGAGGATCAAATGAGTTAACACCAGTAAAGTGCTTTGTAAACTTTAAAGTGCTATATAAATGCCAGCTATTGTCATTATTATTCATTTTCAATATTCCACATTCATAATCCCTAACCTGTGGAATGAAAGGAAGGAGGTACAGTTTCTTATCTCTTCTCTGGAGCCAGACTTGTTCAATATATTGCATTCAGTTTTGTTTGATCATTATATCCATTTATATCATTGTAATCATTGTATATTTTGTTTTCCTGGATCTGTTTATTTCACTCTGAATCAGTTCACCTAAATCTTCCCATACTTTTCTGAATTTTTCCATATTCATCATTTCTTAGGGCACAGAATCTACTATATTCATGGAATAATGTGTTTTTCCATTCTCCAATCAGTGTTTATTTCCAGTTCTTTACTACTACAAACATGTAATAAATACAATCTTTTTTAAAAAAGGGTTAGACTAGTAAGATCAGAGAATGTTTTATATCTAGAGTTTACACAGATTTCAGCAAGAAATTTAATAACATTCATTCTATTTGTGTGGCAATTATAGAGAAATACAGGCTAAGTAATAGCCTGA